CGGCGGGGATGGGGCTCGGAAGCCCCCACGGCGTCAGCTGGCCGGAGCCAGGGCCAGCTGTGCAGCCAGCTGTGCGCTCCGGAGGGGGCCCCGGCTTCAGTGCGTGGAGCCGGGGCGCTTGGAAGGCACGGGACCTTTGCAGTCCCTTGCGATGGCATTGCATCCCCTGGGATGTGGTTACAGTCTCCTGGGATGTGGTTGCACCCCCTGGGAGGTGTTTGCAGTCTTCTGGGATGTGATTGCATCCCCTGGGATGTGGTTGCACCCCCTGGGATGTGATTGCATCCCCTGGGATGTGGTTACAGTCTCCTGAGATGTGGTTGCACCCCCTGGGATGTGGTTGCACCCCCTGGGATGTGTTTGCACCCTCTAGGATGTGATTGCATCCCGATATGTGTTTGCAGTCTCCTGGGATGTGGTTGCACCCCCTGGGAGGTGTTTGCAGTCTCCTGGGATGTGGTTGCATCCCTGGGATGTGGTTGCATCCCCTGGGATGTGATTGCACCCCCTGGGATGTGGTTGCACCCCCTGGGATGTGGTTGCACCCCCTGGGATGTGTTTGCACCCCCTGGGATGTGACTGCATCCCGATATGTGTTTGCAGTCTCCTGGGATGTCTTTGCATCCCCTGGGATGTGGTTACAGTCTCCTGGGATGTGGTTGCATCCCTGGGATGTGGTTGCATCCCTGGGATGTGGTTGCATTCCCTGGGATGTGTTTGCAGTCTCCTGGGATGTGATTGCACCCCCTGGGATGTGGTTGCACCCCCTGGGATGTGGTTGCATCCCTGGGATGTGTTTGCAGTCTCCTGGGATGTGTTTGCATCCCGAGATGTGTTTGCAGTCTCCTGGGATGTTGTTACACCCCCTGGGATATGGTTGCATCCCCTGGGATGTGATTGCACCCCCTGGGATGTGGTTGCATCCCCTCAGACCGAGGATTGCCCCTGGGTACAGCAGCACCCGGTGCCAGGAGCTCAGTGTGTGCCTGGGATAAATTGCAGCTCTAATTGACTTCACCTCCTTGGATCTTGACCCGAGAAGAAAACATCTGGGCCTGATGTGATTTTATTAAGTGCTGATTTCATCAGCAAAGGGGGAAAAAGGGTGGGGGGAAAAAAAGGAGGAAACTTGCTAGCCAGCTGGAGCAGGTCCCTGTAAAGCTCTGAGGGTGACGGAGTGGCACAGGGGATCAGGCAGCCTGGAGAGTGGCAGCTGCAGGTTTGAGGTGGCCAAACACTGATGGCCTTCAATCCCCTCCACTCTGACTGGTGATGCTCAATGGGTCTTGTGGGAAAAAGCAGGAAAAATGATAGAGCAGGCAGAGAAAAACAAAATCCCCGAGGGGTGACCCTGCAGTGTCCCCAGGCCACTGCCTCGTGGCACGTGTGGCCTCTGTGGGCACAAGGACCTTGCTGCTGGCAGGGATCCATGAGCTGGGCTGAGAACAGCCCTGGCAGTGCAGGTGAAGGAGCTTTCCCACTGCTGGGTGATGTCATGGCCATCCTCGGGGAGGAGGACCTCAAAATACATTTTCAGGCAAAATTCCCGTAAGTCCTGACACACATGGGGGCTTATTGCAACAGCAAGTTGATTTGGGGATTTTTTTCCCCCACTTTCTTCCCTTCTTGTTCTTTCAGCTGCTTACAATTTTTCCGGGACAAATTTAGGCCTGGGCCGTGTCCCACTTACGTTTGGAAAGTCTGAACAGCCTTGGCTCCACTGCCAGGAGCGAGGAGAAAGGGCACATAGCCCATGGCAGTTTTAAACTTAAAATAAAAAGCCAAATGCCAAAGAAAACTCCAGATCTCGCTGAGCTTTGGAGTTGAAGGGTGAGTGGGAAGGCAGAGAGGGGATCCCCTGGGTTTGCCTTAGCCAGGAAAACTGTTTAAATGGAGCTGAGCTGTTCTGGGGGAAATCTGGAAGACAACTTGCCTTGTTCCTCCTCTGCTGGATAAGAGGCTGCTGCTTTTCCTTCCTTGGGCACTGTGAGCCCTGAGAGCATGGGCACATCCACCTCTGTCCTGTGGTGGGACAAATCCCACCTCAGGGGACTCTTTAGGTTTGGTGAGTGCATTATTTGGGTTTTTCTATAGGTGACCCCACAGTCCCACAGCACAGCCGTGCCATCCCCAGGGAGGCAGATGGGGAAGAGGCTGCACAGATTTTGGAGGAATGCTGCTGGGAAGGTGAAGAGGTGGCTGGGGCACGGGCTCTAATTACCTATGCAAGGAGCAGCTGGCAAAGGCTGAAGGGCTTCTTAATTAGCAGCCAAAGGCAAATCAGGATCCATCAGCAGGGAAGCTGAAGTCAGCAAAGTCAAGGTGGAAATCTGAGGGCAGTTTTTCCAGCGAGGGTAATTAAGTGCCAGCAGAGAGCAGCGTGAGACATGAGGAATTGCCGTCATTCAAGGACCTTAAATCAAGGAGAGGAGTTTCCCCTGCAGACGCTCCTGCTCCTTCCATCCCTGCTCTGGCACTGCTCCCTGCCCTCCTCAGGGAGGAGGGAGCAGCTGCCCTCAGGCTGCTGAGCCTGGCACTACCTGGGCACCGACATCCTGGGGCATCCCTGCTCATTCCTAACAAGCCAGGCTGAGAATTTAGGGAGAAAAAAAGGCTTATTTCCCCCTGACCTGCAAGCAGCCAGCCTGCCCTCATCCTGGCACACAGGGGGTCTTTTAGCACAGCAGCTTTCCTGAGCTGAGATTCAGCCCGATTTTCTGCCTGTGCCTCATCTTCTTCTCTGATCCTGCAAGAGGAAGGCTGGGTCAGTTTGGACTGGAGCAGGGCTCCTTGGCTCTTAACATCCTCTGTGGTCCCAAAATCCTCACCTGCAACGGAGAGGTTGAAGACAAACCTGCCCTCCTGTGGCACGTTAATTCCAAAACAAAGGATCTGCTAGATGGAGGCAGATGTGCTAGCAAGAGGTTATCTCCAGGAGCTGGAGCTTTGGGGTGTGCATGGAAGGAAAAAAATCACTGTTTGGGGCTGGTTGGGAAGCAGCTCTAGCTCATACCAATTCCTTGACGTGGTCTTTCCTGTTCCAAAAATAAACAGGAATCATTTGGAAAGCCCCTTTGCGGGGAGGAGCAGAACTCCCCAGAATAAATAAATACACAGAGAGCCCGGGTTGAGTTCATCCAGCTGCTGGTTCCCCACTGCCAAGGGTTGTGAAGGATGAAGATGAAGCTCAGAATGTCTCAGTGGGAGTGAGAACACATGAGGCTTCCTCCAGTTAATGGGATTTTTGAGAAAATGCTGAAATCACCTCTTTGAGCAGGGGCTGCTGTGTCTCTCTTGCAGCATGGCTTTCTGCTCTCCCCAAAATAACTGCTGCTCGATCAGCCTTTCAACTCAGTTTAGTCACAAACAGTTAAAAGGACAGATAAAGCCCTTGTGTTTAATTACAGTGCAAAATGAGAAGAAGTTTCACATTTCTGCTGTTAAGGTTGGGTTTTTAGTGCCCCAGCTGCTTTTGCTGTCGTTTCCCTCCCATTTGCTGGACTGGAGCCCTGGTGAAGCTGTGGCCTCACTGAGGCTCCCCAAATCATCCCACAAACACGGGGACAACAACACAGCAGCACAGAGCTGGAGCTGCCAGACAAACGCTGTGTTCATGGATGTTATTAAGACAATGAATAAAATATGAATTTTATTTCATGTGTAACATCAACATCACCAGCAGACCCCAATGTGCTTGTGCTGCATTAATGCTCAACAATTCCTCAACACTCTGCCTTGGACAGGGCTTCAGGACAGGAAGGGATTGAGCGTGGCTGCAGTTTGGAAAGCAGAGATGCCTCTTCTCTGCTTTTTTTGGGACTGTACTTACATTTTTTAGCTGACTGAGTCAGTGCTCTGGGGTGCTGGGGCATTTTCTGCCAGGGAAGCATCACCTCCACACCCACTGGCTCTGCCTTATCAATCTTTCATGTCCTGAAAGCCCTGCTTGGTGACTGACACCTGTCAGGACAGGGCTGGAAAAAGCCAGTCAGTTCTTTAATTCACTGTCATCAGTTCAAAATGAAAAAAAAAAAAACCCTAAAAAGGGGGAAAAAAAAATCAGAGTTTCTGTCCTCAAGTTTTTGGCTGTATTGACCCTGAGCAGTGCTCAGGCTGTCTCACTGGCTTTGAGCTCACTGGCTCAGCCATGGAAAGCTGAGCAGCTCCATCCCTGTGGGGCTGGAGAACAGGAGCCACACCAGAACCCACCTCACCCGTGGCCTGGGCACCTGTGGGAGCCTCTCCCCGTGCAGCAGGGAGGGTGAAGGCTTCTTCCCTGCTACAAAAGTCACAGGATGCTCCAGGCCACCAAAAGCACTTTTCTCCCACAATTTAAAAGCCTTTTGGGATTTCATGCAAGAAAACACTGCTGCCACTGAGGGCACAGAGCAGCAGGAGCTGTGCAGACAGCTCGTGCCACTGCTGCCCACAGCTCCATCTCAGCACAGGCTCTGCTTCCCCTGGCTTCCCCTCCAAAAATAGGGACAAAAATGGGATTCAACCCCATTGCTGCTCCTGCAAAACACAGAGAGTGTTTTCTCCCCCAAGAGGGACAGGGAAAGTGTTGGGAGATGACCAGCAGGATCTGTGCTAGAATTGAGCAAAGGTTTGAAGTTTTAGGGTAGCAGCAACTGTGAACCTTTGGCAGCAGCCAGGGTGACACCTCAGGCTCAGGGAACACTCAGGTATCTGCCAGGGGCTTTTCCATGGCTGACAGGACTGCTCAGCACCAGGGAGGGCAGACACAGCTTCTCCCTCACTCCTGGGAGGGCAGCTTCCCATTTGCTGTTCTGGCATCACTTTGCTTTCACTCCCCACTCCAAAGCCTCTGATTCCCAGCCCAGAGGACCATCCCAAACAATCCACGTCCACACACTGATATTTGTTTGGGTTTTTTCCTCAAACCCCCACGTCTGCCCTAGAAAAAGGCAGTTCTCATGGGCACTGTCACCACAGTGTGGCCAAATGTGACATCCCTGTGGAATAAATAAAGTCAAGGATTTCTCAAAGAGTTTTATTAAACCACAGTAAAAAAGGAGCAGTAACAAACTGTCTCTTGTGGGTAACAATAACAAACCATCTCAGTTCAGTTCAGTGCACTGAGTCAGGAGCAGCACCAAGTGCTGGATCTCAGCTCTGTAAACCAGAGCAGCATCCACACACCTTTGCAGGTGCAGAGGCTTGAACTCCCTGGGGAGGAAGTGGCTCATGCTCAGACCAAACTTTGCTTTTTCAGATGAAGCAAAGGCTTCACTTGCTTTGCTGGCTCTCTCTGAGCTCACAAAGACCATCACGGTCACCTCCAGAACAGCCTCTTGGTGTCTCCTCTCATTTACTGCCATGCAGTCAGGATGTCCTCTTTGCAGAGATCACTGTCTCTAGCTGCTGTGGAGTGGTGTGGCATACACAGGCTCCATGAGGTGGTAAATCAGGAACAGGAACAGGCACCCCAGGAAAACCAGGCTCATCACAGCCAGGAGGATGAAGCGGCCAATGAGGAAGGTGTCCACAATCTGCAGGGAAGAGAAACACAAAGATCCCAGCAGGTCACAGCCCCAGTCTGCTCCAGGAGCCTGGAGGGAGCACACCACATCCTGGAAAAATGAACCCCAGATTCCTCTCCTTGCTTTTCATCCCTGGATGCACAGTGTGTGACAAACGAGAACAAGAATCCCTGCAAAAAGCTACTGGGAATGTTAATGTGGAGCAGCACAGCTCTGAGCACAGGGAACAGACAGCAGTCAAGCCCTGAAGCAGTTCTCCCCAGCCACAAAACTCCAGCCCTGATTCCCTTTCAGAAGGGAGATAGCAGAAAAAGAAAAAAAATAACAATTAAAAAAAAAAAAAGCTACGGTAGCTAGGCAAGACAAAGAGAAGCCCACGGCGAGGAGGCTGTTTATGAAATCCCCTCTCTGCTCCCAGACCCCCCAGAGCTCTGCTCAGCCCCAGCTCAGCTTTATCCATCGCATTAGCTCAGCCCTGGTGCTCCTGCAGAGAGTCTCTGGTGAGCCAAGTGCTGGCTCCTTCTGCACGTTTCACTTTTTAATTAGCCAATTAGCAGAGTTTTGGTGCAGAAAGCCCAGGTCATGTATTATTGATAGGCAGGGCAGGTCCAGTCCAATTGAAGATCTGTACAAAAATAAGCTTTCCAATTCCATTTGCCTCCCAGGCAACAAACACGCACTGGGCTGCCCTTCATCTCACTCCTAACCTTCACACCAGCAGGTCAGATGTGACACAGAGAAGAAAAGAACATTACAAGTATCTTTTAGTAAGGATTTACACAGAACAAGAAGCAGAAGAGCAGTAATTAACATGCATTAATAATAGAACAGAGGAAACAGGCACCTGAAAGGCCACAAAACTTTGTGTATTCAAAGCCCAAAGAGCTCTGGGAGAGCTCAAGGTGGCAGCTCAGAGAGCCTGATCCAAAAACTGGGGGAGATCCCTGTGCCTGACAACGCAGATGGCTTCGTGCTCAAGCACAGCAAAACCTACAAGAGAGCTGAAGAGCTGTTATTGGGCTTTAATCAGAAATCAGAGCTGGGGGAAAAGGGGGAGGCTGCAGAATTGGAAGGAGAACGATAAGGAAAGGGAATGACAGAGGGAGCAGAGGCTGCTGGAGCCGGGAGGGACCGAGGCAGGACAGCAATCCCTGCACAGAGCCCCGGGGAGAGCAATCCCTGCAGAGAGCCCCGGGGCCGGGAGGGACCAAGACAGGAGAGCAATCCCTGCCAGAACCCTGGGGAGAGCAATCCCTGCACAGAGCCCCGGGGAGAGCAATCCCTGCACATAGCCCCGGGGAGAGCAATCCCTGCAGAGAGCCCCGGGGCCAGGAGGGACCGAGGCAGGACAGCAATCCCTGCCAGAACCCTGGGGAGAACAATCCCTGCCAGAGCCCGGGGGAGAGCAATCCCTGCACAGAGCCCCGGGGAGAGCAATCCCTGCACAGAGCCCGGGGGAGAGCAATCCCTGCACAGAGCCCGGGGGAGAGCAATCCCTGCACAGAGCCCCGGGGAGAGCAATCCCTGCACAGAGCCCGGGGGAGAGCAATCCCTGCACAGAGCCCCGGGGAGAGCAATCCCTGCACACAGCCCCGGGGCCGGGAGGGACCGAGGCAGGCGAGCAACCCCTGCCAGAGCCCCGGGGCCGGGAGGAGGCGAGCCAAACCCCCTGGCTCAGGCGGAGCAGTGCGTAAATCCGCAATTTAGTCACAGGAATCAACGATTACCGCCCCACGAGCGACACAGCCCGTGCCAGCGGGCACTGCCGGGGGAGGAGAGCACAAAGGCAGCACGGGGCAATCCCCGGGGCACCGGGACGGTACCGGGAATCCCTCCGAGCTAAAGCCCATTCCCGGGGTAAGGAACCGCTCCCGGGGCTTCAGGATGGCCGCACGGGCCGTCCCGGGGCCGGAGACCCACCCGGGGCCGCGGCAGGGGAGAGGCCCGGCCCCGGGGCTGGGGGCCGCGCGTTGCCCCGCGGGTCCATCCCGGAGCCCCGGGCACGGCCGGTGCCGCCCCGGCCTCACCTCCTCGGCGCCGGCCGCGGCCGGGCTCTCGCCCTCCCGGGGGAACAGCAGCAGCGCGGCCGTCAGCGCGGCGGCCCCGAGCAGCACCGGCACCGCGGCGACCCTGCGGCGACAGCGAGAGCCGGGCTCAGCACCGGCGGGCCGGGCTCAGCACCGGCGGGCCGGGCTCAGCACCGGCGGGCCGAACCCCGCGATCCCCGGGCCCGTCCCGTCCCCGTACCCCCGGCTCACCGGGCCCGTCCCCGTGCTCACCGGGCCAGTCCTGTCTCCGTCCCCGTAGTCACCGGTCCCGCCCCGTCCCCGAGCTCACCGGGCCCGGTCCCGTCCCCATCCCCCTGGTCACCGGTCCTGTCCCCGTCCCCATCCCCGCACTCACCGGGCCGGTCCCGTCCCCGTCCCCGCACTCACCGGGCCCGGTCCGGTCCCCGTATTCCCAGCTCATCGGGCCGATCCCGCCCCGTCCCCGCGCTCACCGGGCCCGATCCCAGTCCCGGTCCCGCCCCGTCCCCGCGCTCACCGGGCCGGTCCCGTCCCCGTCCCCGCGCTCACCGGGCTCGGTCCCGGTCCCGGTCACGGCCCGCCCCGTCCCCGCGCTCACCGGGCCCGGTCCTGTCCCCATCCCCCTGGTCACTGGTCCTGTCCCCGTCCCCATCCCCGTACTCACCGGTCCCGGTCCCGCCCCGTCCCCGCGCTCACCGGGCCCGGTCCCGATCCCGGTCCCGGTCCCGCCCCGTCCCCGCGCTCACCGGGCCCGATCCCGGTCCCACCCCGCCCCGTGCCCGCGCTCACCGGGCGCGGCCGGCGCGGCCCAGCGCCACCACGAGCAGCAGCGCCATGGCCCAGAGCAGCAGCAGCGCCAGCACCCCCGGGCCCACGCCCAGCGCGCCCGCCATGCCGCCCGCGCCGCCGCTTCTGCCTAGCAACCGCGCCGCCCCGGCCAATCAGCGCTGCCCGCAGCGCCGCCCGCGCTGTCTATTGGCTGAAGGAACGCGGGAGGGGGCGCGGACCCCGCTCTCCCTGCCCCGCCCGGCGCTCGCTCGGCGCTTCCCATTGGCTGAGGGTGGAGGGGTGGGCGGGGCTTCCTGCGCGCCGCCGGAGGCGGGGGCGCGCCCCGCTGGGGGCGAGT